ATTCTATTCTATTCTATTCTATTCTATTCTATTCTATTCTATTCTATTCTATTCTATTCTATTCTGTTCTGTTCTGTTCTGTTCTGTTCTGTTCTGTTCTGTTCTGTTCTATTCTATTCTATTCTATTCTATTCTATTCTCCCTCCTTCTCCTTCTCCTTCTCCTTCCCATTTCCTTCCTTCCAATCCTCCCTCTCTCCTTTCCTTCCTTCTCTTCCTTTTCTTCCCCCTCCTCTTTCTTCTCCCCAATAGGACAATTAGCAGTCAGTTTATGTGTATCTTTTACTAATTGTTATTCCTCTTCTCCACCACCTCCTCCTTCCTTCCTTGTCCTTTCTTCCTTTCCTTTCCTCCCTCCCTTCCTCCATCTGTCCCTCCCTTCCTTCCTTTTCTCCCCCCTCCCCACCACATTTTCAATTCCACACATGCCCGTTTTCAGGTTTATAGCCTTTGCAATGGAGTTATTTCTTCATTTAGAGTCCCTGAGAACTTGGCCATTTTAAGACGGGTGGGCTCCAATTACCAGAAGTTCCCAGCCAGCAGGTCCCTCATCTATGCTGGTTACCAAACACCCCAATTTTTGTCACCTGACCATGGGAATGCCTGGATAGTGGTCAGTGGGAGGAGTGGTCATGCTGTTTGTCACTTGGAACAGCTGCTAAATGAACAGTTGTAAGTTGAGGACTCCTTTTGGTGAAGATGGAGGTGGGCAACCATCCTTGTTCTGCACTGCCTTGGTAAAGGTTTTCTCCCCCCCCCCCCCCCCGGTTTTTAAGATGGAAAATCCCCCATGCTGCATTACGAAATGATCATCACGTTGGTGCCTTGTTGTTAAAAGCCACTTTCCTGTCCTTTGTTCCCTTGAAAATTAACCTTCGGGATGGCTCGCCAATCAAATCCACAGGATAGAAGGAAAAAAAACCAAAAGAGAAAAACCGCAGATGAAAGGGGGAAGTGGAAGGAACACCAAACGGTTTCATGATCGCCTGTCAATCAGGAAGCTCTCAGCAAGCGGGAAGGCCAAAGTCTTACCCAAAACCGGGCATTTTTGCGCAACGTGTCATCATTGTCAAACAGAGACACGAGAGGAACAAAATTGCATGCCGGGAATCCTAACCACGGGGCTTAACAGGGGTCAAAAAGCCAAGATGGAGGACGATAGGTTGACACCCACCCTCTTCTTCTTTGTGACAGTCCCTTCAATATTACAAGATGCTATAATGTCACACCAGTCCTTCTGTTCCTTAGACTAGACATACCCAGTTCCTGCAACTGTTGGTCATGTATTTTAGGGCAGAGGTCCCCAAACTTGACAGCTTTAAGATTTGTGGGCTTAGAATTCCTCCTCCTGTCATGTTAGCTCAGGAATTTTGAGAGTTTGAGAGTCCACAAGTCTTAAACTAGCCAAGTTTGAAGACCCTTGTGATAGATGATGGATAGATGATAGATACATACATAGATAGATGATTGATAGATTGATCGATTGACAGATAGGTAAATAGGTAGGTAGGTACAGGGAGAGAGAGGGGGGGAAGAGATGATTAGATCAGGGGTCTTCAAACTTGATAGCTTTAAGACTTGTGGACTTCCACTCCCAGAATTCCTCCTCCAGTTGTTAGCTCAGGAATTCTGGGAGTGGAAGTCCACAAGTCTTAAAGCTATCAAGTTTGAAGACCCTTGTGATAGATGATAGATGATAGATAGATAGACAGACAAACAGACAGATAGACAGACAGACAGATGATTAGATCAGGGGTCCTCAAACTTGACAGCTTTAAGACTTGTGGACTTCCACTCCCAGAATTCCTCCTCCAGTCATGTTAGCTCAGGAATTCCGGGAATTGAAGTCCACCAGTCTTAAACTTGCCAAGTTTGGGCTCTGGAAGCTAAAACATGAAGAACGGTTGCAGGAATAGGATCTGTCTAGTTTAATGAAAAGCACCAGGGGGTGACATGATAGCAGTCTTCCAAGATTTGAGGAGCTTCCCCAAAGAAGAGGAAGGGGTCAACCTATTTTCCAAAGCTCCAGAAGGCAAGAGATAAGAAGCAACGGATGGAAACTCATCAAGGAGAGATCCAATGCAGAATTAAGGAGAAAATTCCCAATAGTTGGAACAATTAATCAGTGGAAGCTGTGGGTGCTCCAACACTGGAGGTTTTCAAGCAAAGATTGGAGAGAACTCTGTCTGAAATAGTACAGGGTTTCCTGCTTGAGAAAGGGGGCAGGGTGGACTAGAAGACCTTCAAAGTCCCTTCCAACTAACTTCTGTTATTCTGATGGGGATGGTTGCCTGCACATTTGAAACAAGCAGGATTTTGATTGGAGAGTCCCAACCACTATCGTGACGTTAAAAAAAAATATTCCCAGGGTTAACCCTTGGCATAATTTACCAAGGAATACAGGGTCTCTGGTTTTGAAATGTTTCCTTTTCTTCCTTGATGGTTTTGGGGTTTCCTGTTATATGCCAAGGGAATTTTCTTCTGGGTGCTGTGAAAATTGACCAGAAGGGCTCGAGAAATTTGACTAGAAGAGCTAGTCTTGAAATGGATGAAAAAGGATTATTTTCAGAAGCTGGACGCCTTTTAAAACCAACTAAAGAGGGATAAACAAGAAAGGCAAAAGATTTGGCAGTTGAGGTGTCCCCCCAGCCTTGTTTCTCTTAAATTTGTTCTTTTAATTCATTTTCAACCTAATTCTTTTCAAATGCACAGGAATGAAGGAAGAGCGATGCTGCTTAAGAAAGGTGCCAGTAAATATTTAAGGTGCTTCCGTGTTCTCTAAAAGGCGCTTTCATTATTAAACTGCACCCAAATTAGATGGAAACGCTTTACAGGATAGAAAAATGCACCCGCAGTTCGCAGCTTGCCATGTTCGCAGCTGGGCAGTTCGCAGCTTGCCATGTTCAGTAGGTAAACAGGGTGGTTTTTTTTTAAAGCTTAATTTATAATTTTAGCTTTTATTTTCTGTTTGGTTTCTCTGGAAATGCAAGGAGGCCCGTTCATAAAGCCAAAAACCTGGTTT